AGCCCCGCAATTAATTTCCCGAGAAAAGTGACTTACGCCACTTTCAAAATAAACATGTTTGTTATACCGTTAATTAGCAAAACTTCTCTCGAACAAATCTCAATAGTTCTCAACTTATTGATTGCAAATTTTTTAAAAATAAAAAGATACCGTTCAATTGTAATTAGCGTTACCATTAACTCGATTTTTTTGAAAAAGTGACTTACGCCACTTTCAAAATAAACATGTTTGTTATACCGTTAATTAGCAAAACTTCTCTCGAACAAATCTCAATAGTTCTCAACTTATTGATTGCAAATTTTTTAAAAATGAAAAGATACCGTTCAATTGTAATTAGTGTTACCATTAACTCGATTTTTTTGAAAAAGTGACTTATGCCACTTTCAAAATAAACGGCTCATATACAGAGCGAAGCCCGCCGGCTGGCGCCAACCTGGCGTACGCCTTTAGGAAGGAGTAAGAAAAATCACGTCGGAAAATTCTACGTACGTTACAATATTCTACACAAGTTTTATGTGATTAGGAGTTCAAATTGAAAAGTCATCGATGAGCAGTCGTTACAAATGCAATTAAGCTTTGCGGAACAACAGATTTAGCTATGGAAAAGTGGGATACTAGTCATTTGTGATCCTAAATTTAATTTTTATTCTATTTTAGATAAGTTAATTATCTTACCACTACGGCTTCCACAGTTTCAGAAATAACCTAGACTCTAAACTCTAACAACTGGAAAGTAGTTTAACAACTGTAACAACAAACTCTAACAACTGGAAGCACTTTAAATAAAAGTCTAAGTATTTGAAACAGAAAACAATTAAAAAGTACTTAAATTTTATTGCATAGGGTTATAAACTGATTCAGGTATTTTCTTATTATGTAGATTATTATAAAATTAGATACGTAATACGTTTATGTCTGCCATTTCGAGGAAATAGAGAGGAGGGTCAGGATTGAAGATATGGTGAGTGGATGACAAGATAAAGAAGGAAAAGAGAAAAAAAGCGTTTGCTAAAGAATACCAAAGAGTGTTGAATTTATTAAAACTAAAGATTAAGAAAATAAAAACGGGTGCGATGAATGGGGTAATAATACAGTAGAATAAAAATAGGAATGCGAAAGTGAGAATGTGCTAATAAGATTAAATAAAAGACTAAGCATTTGAAACAGAAGACAATTAAAAAGTACTTAAATTTTATTGCATAGGGTTTATAAACTGATTCAGGTATTTTCTTTTTATATAGATTATTATAAAATTAGATACATAATACGTCTAAGTCTGCCATTTCGAGGAAATAGAGAGGAGGGTCAGGATTGAAGATATGGTGAGTGGATGACAAGATAAAGAACGAAAAGAGAAAAGAAGCTTTTACTATAGAATATCAAAGAGTGTCGAATCTATTGAAACTAAAGATTAAGAGAATAGAAAAGAGTGCGATGAATGGGGTAATAATACAGTAGAATGAAAATAGGAATGCGAAAGTGAGAATGCGCGTATGAATCAAATATGTGGATAAGATAGTTTCGTAGAAACAGTATAATGTAAACTGGGCTGACCGATCGGTATAAAACGTATGTACAAATGTAGCGATGATTGGAGAAGGGGGAGTTGTTTTGCTGCGATTGTTAGGTTCTAGTTGATATGGAAGGGGCGTTCAACGTACATAATAACAAACACGGAAAAATGTCCGGCGGGACATCAGTTTAGCATGCCTGATGTGAACCAAAGTCCAATTCTTAGCTGTGATGTCGAGTAAAGCGAATTCATTTTTATCGCTGCTTCACGTAAATGTAAATAACTACTTATTTGTGGTTTGGTGATGTATTTTTTACTAAGTTGACTTATCTACAAGAGAAACTGCGCACTTTGATACACTAAAACACTGAAACATTATATGATGCGATGTAGAAATAATCACTGCTTTCACCCTATTTCGTTGTCGATATACAAGTATCCGTAGAAAATAGCCAAAAGCCAGAAGTAAGAAAGTATACACGGTTTCAATTATTAACATTTTGACGATCGCGTCGACAAGCTCAAAAATTTCATAAAATTAAAGTATTTCATTCAATTAAATTTAAATTGCAAGATAAAGTTATGTGACATCAATTGCCTCTCCAACATTTTCATTTTTCGTGAATCTTAATTAATTAAAAATTAATTTTTTTAAATTAAATTTCACATAATTCTGTCACCCACATATGGGTGACGCTGCAGTCAAAGCGTTAATAGTGTAATTATGATATACTTTTTTAATACTGTATGATATAAATGTAATGATATAAATAGGATATATTTTGTTAACAATTGTGATAACATTTTTGTGCCGCTGAACCGGTTTTTATCATTCAAATTTTCGCCAAGTCATGTATATGCGATGATGACGATCAGAGTGTTATGTATTGCTGTTACTAGCAATACTATTTTGTTATTAAGTATTGCTATTTTCAAATTCAAGTCAATATTGAATGAAGAAGAATTCTTGAAGGAGGAATCAATCTTTGCCCAGCGTCCGCCGAGTGATAATGAGTGATAATTAAGTTGTAGAGTCAGTAAGTGTTGTATAATTTTGGACTATTCTCTGAATCAGTGATATGTACAATTGTTCTGTACAATTGTTCAAATGACAGACGATAACCATGTAAAACATTTAGCGAAATACGCCATATAGTTTCTAAAAACCTGAAGTTGAGTACGGGAAGGTTTTGGTATTTGTAGGTATGTGAATGGAAGAAATATTACATCTTAGTATGATGCTTATAGTTATTTCTTGTTCAGGGTTTTAATAAATTAAACATTGCGAAAGCATATATAGAAAAATATTTTCTAGACGTAGAACGACATTGCTTGTATTCAAATTAAGAAATTAAAATGGCGCAGGACAATGTTCCAGGCGCGAAAGTGTGAACAAGTATTAGTATGGAATTGCATCGCAAAATGTATTATATCACAAATTCAACCACAGAAGTGAACTGTCACGGAGAACCTATTGAAAATTTGAGCACCAAACTCAACCGCACACAGAGTTGTGTTAATTCAATTACAGTTCTTGAAGTGAGATAGATTTTTATATTTTTTTCCGTATACTTATTCATCTTTTTGCCTACCCTTGCTTCGTGTTTATACTAGAACTTTTATTATCCGGGTATCCCGAGTTGTACACCATTTAAGTGATTATTTAAATACAAAATTATTTGTTATTTCGAAGTTTAAGTGAAAGATAAAAATAATTATTTATTATTTATATAGATCAAAATAAATTATTTAAAATAATAAAACTTATTTCTTACTTATGAATACAATTTCAATTGTTATTTATCAATTATCATTTAATTATTTATTATTTATTATTTATTATTTATTATTATTATTATTTATTATTCATCCGGCACAACGGCACGTCGTATAGTAGGAGGAGTTTAGTAATACACTGTACTTTGCGAAAACATTTACGAGATTATCGTGATTACGTGATTATCGTATTACTAAGCATTATCCAGCTAAGAATTGGACTTTGATTCGCATCAGGCATGCTAGATTGATGTCTCGCCAGACATTTTTCCGTTTACGCCCCCTCCATATCAACTAGAACCTAACGATCGCAGCAGAGCAACTCCTTCTCCAGTCATCGATACATTTGTATATAAATTTTACATCGATTGATCAGCCCAGTTTACATTATACTGTTTCTACGAAACTATTTTATCCACATATTTGATTCATACGCACATTCTCACTTTCGCATTCCTATTTTCATTCTACTGTATTATTACCCCATTCATCGCATTAAGATATTTATAACTTCAATTTTCCTTCTTTTCATTTCATTAGTATAATATGAATTACGTAATAAATGTATTCTATGCAATGATTGATTACCTCAGGCCCTCCTCAGGCCCTTTTCGCATAAAATACAAAAATGTGGTAAAAAATGATATTTATTAACATTATTCCTTGTTGTTTATTATTTGTTTGTAATATTTGAGAATATATACATATTTAATATTAGAAACATTATAATTTCGTTACATAAAAATGAAATAGTACCGATCATCTGTTTCAATTTATCAATATCAATATCACTTGGTTCGTTCAAAACGGAAACAAAGTCTATAGATTGCATGCCTCGGGATAAATTGTTTTTAAATTGCTCTTTGAACCAATTTACTTCTTCTTCATTCAAAAAATCACAGCAACTTCTAACGTCGATTTTATGATTTACTTTGGTGCGATTAGAATCCACACTGTGGACTTCCGTTTCCGAGAATTTTGGTGGAGAGAAGTGATTTATATCTGCCCTCAGAATTGGAAATGCAAATGGTGAATAGACCGGTGAAAGGAAAGTAGAAAGTGGAAGAAGAAGGGGAGTGAAGAAGGAGAAAAGGAAGGAGAAAGAAAAAAGGGAGTACGGAGTAAGGGAGAAAGTGAGAGAAGAGGAAAGTGAGGTTAGGTACAGTAGGCGAGAAACGTGGCAAAGAAATAAAGCACAAGATAGAAGGAAGGAGAGCCATCTAGCGGGAAGATAAGGCAGTAGGAGGGATAAGGTAGTGAGGTCGGTAAAGTAGAAACGGAAGAGCATAAAAGATGGAAAGTAAAAAAGAAAGAGAGAGAGATAAAGAGAAAGAAGAGAGGAAAAAGGTGGGCAGACTGACAGACAAGAATGGTGGAGGAAGGAGAAGAGTTAAGAGTTTGTCGGGGATCGACGAAGTACGAAAAATAGGGGATTGGCTGAAAACGAAAACAGAAGAAGAGAGAAGGGAGGGAAAAGAGGTGGATCAAGGGGAAAAAGAGGAGGAAATATCTAAAAAATGTCAGATGTTGGAGAGAACTTCAACCAAAGAAAAAGGAATAGAATTAAGAAAAAGAAAAGAAGGAAGAGAAAAAAATGAGTGGGAGGTAGCAATTAAGGAAATGATAGAGAAAGAGGTGATGGCGATTCTTAGGGAGGAAGTGAAGGTAGCTCTAAAGGAAGAAATAAGAGATCTGATGGATAGTCTGGAAGAAAGTAAGAGAGATTTCGAAAGGAAGAGGAAAGGAATAATGGAGGAAGTGTGGAAGCTAAGAGAGGAGATAAAGAACGAGACAGAAAAGATGGCCCAAGAAAAGAAAAGGATGAAAAAGCAGATAAAAGAAATAACTAGGAGGGAAAAGAAGTTAGTATGTGTAGAGAAAACAGTGAAAAAGTTAGAAGTGAACAAAGATAAAGAAGGGAATAGAATAGCAGAGGAAGGAGACTTATGCAGAAGATTAAGAGAAATGGAAATCAAGTGGGAGAAGAAAAGCAGAAGCGAAAGGAAAAGAAATATAATTATTAAGGGTATTAAGATAAAAGAAGGAGGGAATGGAAGGGAAGAAGCAGAGCAGATATTGAAAGAGATTGGAAGTAATGCAGTTATAGAAGAGATAAGAAAGGGAGAAAGGGAAGAAGGAGGAGGGGAATGGTGCATAGTGAAGATAAAAACAATGCAGCAGAAAAGAGATGTGATGGAAAGGAAAAAGATATTGGTAGGAAGGAAAGAAAGAATAGAGGACGACATGACGTGGGAGGAAAGAAAAATAAAATGGAGAATAAGACAAATAGTAGAGCAGGAAAGAAGGAAAGGAAAGAAAGTGGTGGAAGGGTATATGAAAATATGGATAGGAGGGGAAGGATGGGTATGGGATGAAAAAAAGGAGGTTCTAAGGAATAGGAAGGGTAAGGAACTAAAAGAAGAAGAGCGAAAAGAAAACGCGGAGAGGATGGAATAAGGGCAAGGATAGAGGATAAAAGAGATAGGAACGAGACAACGGCAAGAACAGAGAAAGTTAAAATTGGATACTGGAATATAGCTGGAGTAATCAATAAGGACGTGGAATTTTGGAAAGGGCTGGAAGGAGGTGATGTAATTATTTTAATAGAGACATGGTTAGAAGACAAAGGATAGAATAGGGTAGAATGGAGGAAACAGTATGCAAAAAGGGAGAAGAAAAAAGGAAGAGCCAAAGGGGGAATGATAGAGGAAATAGGAAATAAAGAAGGATTTAGTGGACGGAATAGAGGATGACAGGAAGGGGATAGAAGGGATGATAACAAGAAGAATTAGGATAAGAGATAAGAGAAGGAGGATAATAGAAGTGTAAATAAATTAGGTCATGAAAAAAATGAAAGAAATAAACGAGTGGAGTAATAAGGGGATGAAGGAGGGATCAATAATTGGGGGGGGGGTAGAGGATTTGATTGTGATAACAGGGGAGAGAGGAGAGAAAATAGGGGGAAAAGGTGAAGAAGAAGAGGATAGAAAAAGACGGTCGAAAGACAAGATAATAAATCAAGTAGGGAAGATGTTATTGGAAGAGGTGAGGGAAATGGATCTGGAGTATAAATGGACACAAAGATGGTGAGTTCACATTTATAGGACAAAGAGGAAAGACTGTCATAGAGAAAAGAGAAGGTATAGAAAGAATGGAAATACAGGAAAGAGTAGATTCGGACCATTTGCCAACAATAATAACGTTGACAAAGGGAAGGGGAAGGAAGGAAAGGGAAGGGGAAGGGAGGAAAAGGAGAAAAAGAAGACATTGGAATGAGGAGAAGAGGAAAGAATTCAGAATAGAGATGGAAAAGAAGGAAATAGGGGCAGTGATAATGTGGAAGAAAGGATAAGGTACAGAGGAAGGAAGGAGAGGAAGGAGAAGGAAGAGGCAGGAATGATGTTCATAATCGAGGAATTCAGAAAATATGTAGAAAAAGAGGGATTAAAAGTAAATAGGGAATAGACTAAGGTTATGAATTTGGTAGGAGAAGAGGAAAGAAAAGGAAATGGAAGTGGGGAAGGGGAAAAGTAGAGGAAGTGGAAGAAATGAAATATTTAAGGTATCGGTTTGAAAGAAATGATAGGCAAGAAGCGCAAATAGAGGGGAGAACAACGAATGCAATAGGTGCCACGAGAAGTGTGTGGGGTATGGAATAAAAAAGATATTTTCAGAACGAAGCGAAGAGAAGAGTATGGCGACACTGGGAAGAATTGGAAGAAAAGAGAGAAAATGTGGAAAAGAAACGCAAGAAGGGCCTGAAAGTTTGAGGGAAGGTTAAGAGAAGGTTGAGGAAGCGAAATAGCAAGAGATTGTCTGAATGAGATAGAAGCAAGATCGAGAAGAGGAATGAAAATATCTAAGCGGGAAGAAGAAGATATTATAAGAGATAGAATGAGAAAATATGGAAAAGAATTACAAGGTTCAGATTAGGAAACGAAAGGAAAGAAAGAAGATACTGGAAAACATAAGAGAATAGGAAATTTAGGGGTAGAAATAGAAGGGTGGGAACATATACTAGGGAACTGTAGGGAATGGAAAGAAGAGGAAAGGTGCTTATTCGAAATGGTTAAGAAAATTCTAGCAGGGGATGAAGTAGGGAGTGTGTGGTGGATTAAATGTTTAGAGGAGGAAAGACTTAGTGGAATGGAACGAAGAGCTGCAAGAGGGACAGGAGGGGGTGAGGAGGAAGAAAGTAAATGATGAGTGCAGAAGAAAAGGAATGAGAATAAATGAGAAAGTGTGAATGAGAGAAGAGTGAGAAAAGAGAGAAAGACAGAAAGCGGACGGAGCAGAGAGGGAAAGAAAGGATATAGAGAAAGAAGAAGGGGGAATAAATGCAAAGGACAGGCGATTACTAGGCTTAAATGTTTATGCAGAATATGGGAAGATACAGCAAAACCCGCGAAATAGAAGTATAAAGAGACATGGAATGGACAAAAAGGAAGGAGAGATAGAGCGAAAGAAAAAGCGAATAAGAGATACGCAGAGTTAGTCGTAAGCGTTAGTTTTTAAGCGTTGATTTTGAAGCGATAGGTTTAAGAGGTAGCATTAATTTTAAGCAATAATTCTAAGAAGCGGAAGTCTCGTGTAACCCGTAAGAAACCATAAAAAAGGAAAAATATATTATAAAGGATGAACTAGTAAGAATATTGTCGCAAGTTGAGTATTTAATAAGGTAGTATTTCTGTACGTAACGCGCTTTCCCTTTGCTTTATCGTTTCTTCTGATAAAAGCCCATGTTTTTATAATGCAAAAGGATTATAATTATGACACAAAAAGATACCAGAAGATACCAACCAGATCGTCTGTTACCAAAGACTTGTATTTATCAGACGCAGCGGTATAAAATATGACGATCTACTTTATTCGTGAACATCGCACGTCAATGCAAAAATCGATTTATACATTTTATGGAAGAAGGGCTTGAGTGCCCTCAGACCATTCTTGCATTCGTGGGTTCAATTAACTTATCTACAATAAAATGAAAATGAAATTTGCAATTACAAATGACTAGTTTCACTTAGATCACTTAATCACATGATACTTGGTAGTACATAATGCACGGATGAATTCTGATTATGTTTGGACTGTCACCTGCATTTGTTTTAACGAAATATATTGACATCTCTTTAATATTCTTTATAATTTTTCTGTGTAGAAATTATAACACCTTTTGCAGTCAAATTTACAGTGTTCATTTATCCAAGTTTCCAGCATATTTACAAATTGTTTTGGTTTAAAAATGTTGAAATTTGTGGTATTGGCTGCTTAGAAACATAGTGCGCTTGAAAAACATTGTCACATATGGTATCCATGATTGTGACCATTTTGATTATTCAAAATGAAAAAATGTGTAACATTCTTAATTGTGACGAGTTTAGCTACAGTAGCTGCTATAACAAAAAAAAGTATCGAAAATTTAACAAATTTCGACGTTTTGAAATTAAATTATCGATGTTTCCTATTAGAATTTTGGGATGGTTCTAATACGATTTATAAGCATAAAAATACATATAGAGAATCTGCAGCGAAAATTTGAAGGCAATTTGTTAAGTAGTTTTTGAGATATCAAGAGCACACTTTTGAAAAACATAATTTCGAAAAAGACACGTTTAAAACGTTGTATATCAATACTGATCAATCACATTATGAATATCATTCTCACTATAACTTTGTTAATTTTAAGAATTTTTAAAACTACATACACTTCAGTAAAATGTAAAAAATATCTGATTTTTCAATGATTCGAACTAGAATACCCACTATTTGAACTTCTCCTCGCAGTTGATTGTTAGGAGTTTGATTTAGCTTGTTTGGATTTTGAATTATTTGTCTAGAGTACAATGGCTTTGTTATCACGAGATAGAACTCAGACAATACTTGTGTTACCGATTTTTACATACGTCGGTGCACGGAATCGGCATAAAAAGGCTTTCGCGTGACAATGGGTCTACTGTTTCGTTAAACGTTCCACGATGGATCCGCGAACGTTGCTTTTCGTTGTGATTTTCGGCAGTTGCGGAATATTTATTAACATTGTTATCTCCAACCCGATCGAAGTACCCGACGAAGAAACTGCATCCAATATAATAAAAATTCTTCTGGATTGCATGCATTCGAATTCCGAAACGTACACAGGATGCTTAATAAGACAGAAGAGACATCATCACTCGCATGAGATAGGTATGACACAACATATCTACGAAAATATACTGTTTAAATACCTACATTTTAAATAACTTTTAATATATTAATTTGAGATGGAAATAAAAACAAGAGAAGATGGAAGTTCCAATAGCATAGTTTGAAGAATTAGAATGAAATGCACGCGACTGCTTGATTCTACCGTATGATATCAATATCGGCATATTTTAGTTAGTGGAATTTGTGGTGGAAATTATATATGAAACGTGTTACTACGACATTAGCGTAAATATTCTAGTCTTTTTCCTTTCTCTATCAATAATTATTATTTGAACTTATGAGATTGTCGATAAAACAATACACATGGCTTCTGAAATTTATTACTTTTGACAGCAACAATTATATTATATACGAAGTACCTCTTAATTAACCCATGGATTTTGTATTATTATTGCTGTATATTAAATTAAGAATTATTTGTAAGGTAAGTATGCGATTATAATATCGAATGTACTATGTATTTCGGAAGATTTAATATTTTCATACCAAAAGTGTTGCATTTCCGCGTGACAATATTACTACACTCTTCGCTGTGTGATGTTAAACTTCTGAATTTCTCCACGGTTGAGCTCATAATGAAAAATTGACCAGTGTCTTTTTGTACCAACTAAAATACATTCTTCTTCTACAATAAAAAAATGTATAGGGTGTTCTCAAAAATATTGTAAGCACTTGAAAGGGATGGTTCCTAGAGTGATTTAAAATCACTTTTTGCTTAATTAGGATGAGTATTGTTGGTGCGCAGTATTCTAAGGGAAATAATTTACGCCGGGAATGGAGTAGGTAACGTATGCGCCGGGTGTCCCGCACAGCATCGTGGCACGTCTACCAAATGATGATTGTAACTCTGAACTACAATCAGATAGAAGCTCTACCTTTCGATTGTAATTCAGAATTATAATATTCACGCGGTAGACGCGTCACATTAAACAAGTCACAGGCTTCGAGTTGCATTCGAAGTAAATGAATAAATCATAGAGCGTGAACTTTCCGAATTTCTTTTATTATCCTGCAGTGATAATTTTAATAAAAACGCTGCTTATCCTTATTTTAGAATGTCTGAAGAATATTTAGTAATTTTTCGAACCCGGCATAATAAATAGTTTAACCGTGAAAACCATTTTCCTTTTTCTGATATGCATGACACCTTATGTGTGCCATACGATATTTTTATACGGTGTGTACAGTGAAGATTGACAATAAGTAACCCCGTCGGACTAGGTAAATGATACCTTAATTTAAATAATTCCGGATATAATTTAAATAATGCCGAACAGAATAATTCGCAAAGTTATTTTATTGATAAATAACTTCGTTATAAAGAACGTAATGGATTCGTTTGTGTTTGAGAAATGTCAAAAATATTATTAGTAAGAAATTCGCTCCTGTAGTTGTAAAGTCACTTCATGATTGGAAATATGTGTCAGAAGACTAGTGCATTGACCTCGTACAATGTATGATGAATTGCACAGTTGATCTGTAGACGACGGTGACAAATAAAATAATATCTCCGAGCAGGTTATATTCTAACGTTCACTTTCACTGAACTATCACTCTACACTGATCACTTATTCAATAATGATTAGGGTTATTTTAGGGAATTTTCCTGGCTTAGTATACGCGTCTCTGAAGAGTGCCGATTTTTTTATGAGACGCGTTCGAAGTTCATAACGTTCTCCTGAACCCTTTGCAGCATCCTTGGAGTAAACGTGGTGCCGTTGTTCGCATCGTATAAGGAGATTTACGTTCTTTCCATGTTAATGCTCGGGACAATCTGCAGAAGACTAGGACGATGGCCGATAATATTTTGTAGCGCACCCGCAACATGAAAATGAAGGAATTTTCGAACGCGAAAATTCTAGCCTTTCCGAGTGTGTGACGTAGTGTGGCCGGGCTCAAGGGCCGCTGCTAGGCCTGGTCGCTTGCAAGACCTCATAGGCAACGATTTTCCTGAGTTGTTTTCTTCGAGATAATTCTCCCTTCGGTTTGAAGGATAGGGAATTTCCCTCTATTTACAAGTTCGGAAATTCGTCGACTAATATAACTATAGATTTTATAACTATCAATAACTAATATAACTAATATAACTATAGATTATTGTTTCGTTGTTGTTATTTTCCTTCGTTACTGTTGTTATCGTTTTTTCGTTATTGTTATATCGTTGTCTGGTTAGAAAGGACGTCGCAACAGCAACACGTTTAATCCAAGCATGCTGCAAAGGATTCAGTAAAACGTTGCAAAACCCGTCTGATAGAAGAATCGGCACTTTCCAGAACCACACATGTTAACCCAGGAGAGTCCATCCTTAATTATTATCGAATAAGTGATCAGTGTTTAGTGATAGCGCAGTGAACGTGAACGTTAGAATAACTTGCCCAGACATATCCTTCTATTCGTCACCGTCGTATACAGATTAGCTGTGTAGTTCACCATGCATTGTACGAGGTCAATGCACTATTCTCCTGACACATATTTCCGATCGTGAAGTAGATTAACCCTAGAAAGATAACCATATGACAACGTACGTAAAAGATAACCATACGCTTCAGAGGCGCATGCTTTTCTAAGGCGTCAATTTTATACTAACAATGGATATTTATTTCAGTTAATCTAGTCATTTTAAAGGTTTGGCATTATTGTAAAAATAAAATGCATTTATATTATATTTTTTTATATTTTAAGTAATTTTAAACTTAAATCACTAAACCTCTATGAAAAACGGTGCAGTCAGTTGTTTATTTCGCAGGCGCCTCTGCGACGTAGGTTATCTTTCTCGGGTTAATAACTAAAAGGGTGAGTTTCTTATTAATAATATTTCTCATATTTCTCAAATAAACGAATTATTTATCAATAAAATATCTTTGTAAATTATTCATTGAATTCTGTTCAAACACGGGATTAATTAAATTTAAGTATTATTTACGTACTTCGACGGAGTTACTTATTGTTAATTTTCACAGTACACATCGTATACAAATTTCATATAAGACACATGAGGTGTCGAGGATACTAGAAAATTAAATCGGCTGTCACAGTAAAATTACTTATTATTTCGGGTCCGAAAAATTACTAAATATTCTTCAGACATTCTAAAATAAGGATAAGCAGCGTTTTTATTAAAATTATCACTGCAGGATAATAAAAGAAATTCGGAAAGTTCACGCTCTATGATTTATTCATTTACTTCGAATGCAACTCGAAGCCTGAGCGTAGCCTCCTCTCCTTCCGTCACGCCCCGCGAACGAAACCCCCTACCCTCTCGCAGAAACACCTTACAGCTGCCGAGCTCGCCTCTCATTGGTCACTGTTTTTCGTTCATAACTGGTAAACAAAGCCGCGAATTGCATTTACGCTAAGGAGAAAGTTACTTCAAATTACCTCAGGTACCTTCCATTTCCGGATTACGGGACATTTTTAGGATACCCTGTACATAATGTAAGAGTCAAGCCACGGAGGACATTTTCGCGATGTGAAAAACTATTTCAAGTCACCTCAAGAATCGCTCCATTCAATAGCTTACAACATTTTTGGAACTCCCCGTATATACTGCTGTTTCTCTTACGGTGTCTGTATTCAATTATTATCCTCCTAGATTACAATTGAAATTTATTTTATAGTTTCTAGAATAAGTAGGCATAAGGCATAACATAATGCGAACATTGAAATCTATGTCTTGTTAAGATCATAGTTGCATGGAGCCATGTATAGGATCTTGTATAAAGGAAAAACTGTACGAGTATGATTCCTGTGCGGACAATTGTAAATATTGCATAAAGCGACAGAATCATCGTAAAATTGACATCGCTGAAACCTCCTATGAAACAATATGCATTAACCAAAATTGTACTCACGTTAAAGGCGGTGATAATAAAGCATTAACCGTCAATGTTACTGCTCATGTCCACATTCATAATCACTACAGTACGCAGACGACTGGTAAGTAATGAATTATTCTGTTCTCATATTCTTGAAGTTAGGCACGTTGTACAATATTCTGGAATTACTCTTTCTGTCAATTAGCTAAACAGAATTGTCCGTGTTATTATGCCACTTGGCAACCTTGCTACTGTCGGCCTTCATATCCAATATGCCAGTATCAGAATCAATGGCCCTGCATTCCAGTAAGTACATACAAGTACTTTATCATAACTCTACCTATCATTCGTACTAAATTTTCATAATTAAAAAATGACAATGAGACTCTTCGTTTTCATCATATGTGCTTAGCTTTTGACAAATTTAATTTTAAATATTTTCTGGCAAAAACTGGCCCGTGTTTGAATTCTTTACACTTTGACGATGTGCGACCGAGCATAGATCTCTTGAGTCTACACTAATATACACCTTAAAAGTTAATTACTCTATTAAAATTGTATGCTATGGTACATCTGAGGAATAATTATACAGAATCACTGATACAAAATACAGAAAAAAAAGATTCTGTACTTGTCATTCGTACAGTGTATGTATGTATGTATGTACAAAGTATTGATAGACAGAAATTAAATTTAATCCAGGGCTGCCTGATCATTGTATTGTAGCACTGCTGTAACGTATTTTATAAATCGTGTTTCTTCAATAAAAAGTAATTAACTCGTGGTCAGTGTGGTGGAGCATGGAACAGCAATTTCACTTGCACAACCGGCTTTAAGCAAAATGTCAATAATAATAATAATAACATTAATGCATAAATGAATGTCGTATTATTTGAATTAAAAAGTTTCTTATTAAAATTATCTGTTTAAACATTTTTTGTTAAAGAAATAGAAAATAACCTTGCCACATTTATTACAACACATTTTTAGACCTCACACGGTAATACAGGTCCTGTTAGTAAACAAGATTTTGTTATTATTACAGTCAAGAGCTTTATAAAATTCTCCATGTTAGGAGACATTTCATATTGAACAACTATTGGTACTAATTCTAATTTTTGTAAAATCTTTTTCTCTTTCACCTTTAATTTTGCTACCAAGCATTTATGTATGATTACATCTAAACTATACATACATGCGCGATGATTACAGGGAAGGGTTCAGTATTCGTCAGTTTAATAGTTAATAGTACAGTAGTAATGCAATAAATTCTCTACAATTGTCTCTCAACTTTTAAACAAAAATGGACAATTTCGGAAGATCAAATACGATTATTCGAGCCTCGCGGCTGATTGTTATAGTCACCGACTGTCGTCGAATGATCGTATCTCCTCTTCCCAAATTGTCCATTTTTGTTTATAAGCTCAGGGACAATTGGTGAGCATTTACACTATGTATGTTATTTATTATAGGACTTACCGCAACAACCGCCGATCGCTTCACTACCAATCGGTCCACCAATGATCGGTCCACCACCGACCGGTCCACAACCGATCGGTCCACTACCCATGGCTCCAACTTGTGAAAACAATGATTGCAATCCTGCCACTGGAAACTAATGTTAAATAAAACACAACGAGCTTTTTGGATACTTGAGGATGCTCGAGAATAACTGATGTACGTTTCCTTTTTTTTCGGTCGCACGAGGCATCTTGCTCCAGAACGCTCCTAACTCCACGTTTTGTCTCTTACATTAGAAAGTGACACCTTCTGTTGCCGTCTTTTTTTAGTAATAGAATAACTCTTTATATCTTAATGTTATAAGGATGACGTATCTTTGACAATACATATTTAATTTAAGGATCTTTACCAATACTTTATAAGTCAAGTAGTTCTATTGAACAAAATAAACGATATGCGTAACCAGATTTCCAATCATATATAAAAGTTCACCATCGATCGGTCCAATATCAATCGGACCGCTACCCATAGGTCCACCACCCATGGGTCCACCACTTATGGGTTCAACTTGTGGAAACAATGATTGTAATCCTGCTACTGGAAGCTGTTGTTAAATAAGACAAAACGCGCTCTTTGGATATTCGAAAATACCTGATGAACGTTTTTCTGTTGCACAATCGCTCACACTAGGCATCCTGCTCCAGGACCCTCTGCTCTCCTCGTTTTGTCTTTTACATTAGTTATCGCGCAACTAACTTCAGAAAGTGACATCTTCTGTTGCCGTCTTTTTTAAGTAACAGAATAACTCTTCTTGTCTTAATGTTATAAGGATGACGTATCTTTGACAATACGTTTTTAATTTAAGAATCTTTACCAATACTTTATAAGTCAAGTAGTTCTATTGAACAAAATAAACGATATGCGTAACCAGATTTCCAATCATATATAAAAGTACGAATACCCATCTTAAAGATGTTTACTTCAACATGCTCGTAAGGATCACAATGTTAATTTGTTTGTGAGTATATTTCTATATCTATCCCATTGATAAAGAAACACTTTTTTAAACATTGTCTAGTAAAACTAGTCTTTCTAATGGTTCCGGAAGATTCAAGATATTTGGCACAGTTTGAGAAAAGGATTTTACTTGGAAATAATGTCTCTATATTCGTTGATGTCTTTGTTGCATGTGTAGGCTGAAATAATATAGGTAAAGCTATACTTTGAAAGAAAATATGGAAATGATTCGTTTTTCCAACAAAAAAAAAAGAAATTGCACGCTATGTATAAGGATATTTATCGTGAATTGTCCGGTAAAGATAATCCTTAATTTAGCTGCTTAATTTTAGCGTGCCATTGTCCCTCTGACATGTAGATCAACGAAGAGTACAGTTGCCGTCGTTTTATTTAATTTAATATTTTATTTATTTAGTTTGTTTCGTTTTGAAATCCCCATGTTTCACATACATGTTTCACTTTCTTATGCTCAAACATAGAGCTGCGAAAAAGTAAGATAGAGCTATTTTTATGTTTTCGGTCTCTTAATTTACAACGATCTGTCTGTGTGCAATGTGTCTTGAATTCATTTCAGTTTATTTACCGATCATGAAAGAATTGGTAAATACAGAATTTACGAAAACAAGCCGTAAGACTACGTATCCAAAAGAAAACATCTAAAACTGCTTAGATGGTTTTTTATTCAATGAGAATTAAAAATTTCGTGTTCAGAAGATTCATCCTTGTGACGACAAAGTGTCTTTCTTTTATCTTTCGGATTTGGAAAATATGTACGACGGAAAGAACTAGATTGTACTCTGCAGTCTGTGCAGAGTATTATAGCGTTTTCTCAGATTCGTTGTCGCATATTGAAGTATCGATATCTAATGTTTAATAAATTGCCTCGTTTGGAGAAAAACTTTGATATTGCATATAAGTGGATATTCTGCTGTATTGTACATTTTATATTATTCAAATTACGTGTTACTTCCTATGTTATTTAAATTATTGTCACAAGTAGGCACATGAGGATGCATAAAGAACGGATGAAGCAAAAAGGAAAATCTTCATGTCTGATTACTCCTTATTAACACATTGCGGACGGCTCACGAGATATCTCGTTTTTAGCAAATTGAACGTTGCGGACGGGTCACGAGATATCTCGTTTTCATGTTTTTTTTATTTAATCGGCAACAAGCAACCAGCCGCAAATATTTCTGTTACGTAACCATGGTAACGAAGCCTCCCGCATTCCTAAGTAATTTTAGCGAAACAAATGAATCATTCCAAACATGTAGAAATGATCAGTCATTATAGCCACTCTAAATCAATATTCAAATTTGTATAATAAATAATAGTTAAAATGTAAAAAATCTTATATAATAAACAGATATATAAACTATGTATACATAGTATTATTTAAGAATAATAAATGCAAATTAGAAATGTGCGTATCCGCTTCCTGTTACTTGCCAAGCATGTTTTTGGAGCGTTCGAAAATGTGCGGTCTTTGAGGGCGTGTTGAACGCGCAGAGCCCCGTCCGCAATGTGTTAAGCAATCTGGATTAGGTTTGAAGTGGACCAATAAAAATTGAATTAGAACTATTTTTTATGTAGGTAACTGAAAATATATCAATATGAGTTAAGATCAACTACTACTTGTCGAAATCATTCGAAACAACTTATTTATTACTTCTTTAACATCAGAATTCATGGTTTGATAATTATATTATAATTGTTTCATACAACAACATATATGAAACAAATCCAGATAGACACACGCATGAAACAAATATTTGCATANCATGTGTAGGCTGAAATAATATAGGTAAAGCTATACTTTGAAAGAAAATATGGAAATGATTCGTTTTTCCAACAAAAAAAAAAGAAATTGCACGCTATGTATAAGGATATTTATCGTGAATTGTCCGGTAAAGATAATCCTTAATTTAGCTGCTTAATTTTAGCGTGCCATTGTCCCTCTGACATGTAGATCAACGAAGAGTACAGTTGCCGTCGTTTTATTTAATTTAATATTTTATTTATTTAGTTTGTTTCGTTTTGAAATCCCCATGTTTCACATACATGTTTCACTTTCTTATGCTCAAACATAGAGCTGCGAAAAAGTAAGATAGAGCTATTTTTATGTTTTCGGTCTCTTAATTTACAACGATCTGTCTGTGTGCAATGTGTCTTGAATTCATTTCAGTTTATTTACCGATCATGAAAGAATTGGTAAATACAGAATTTACGAAAACAAGCCGTAAGACTACGTATCCAAAAGAAAACATCTAAAACTGCTTAGATGGTTTTTTATTCAATGAGAATTAAAAATTTCGTGTTCAGAAGATTCATCCTTGTGACGACAAAGTGTCTTTCTTTTATCTTTCGGATTTGGAAAATATGTACGACGGAAAGAACTAGATTGTACTCTGCAGTCTGTGCAGAGTATTATAGCGTTTTCTCAGATTCGTTGTCGCATATTGAAGTATCGATATCTAATGTTTAATAAATTGCCTCGTTTGGAGAAAAACTTTGATATTGCATATAAGTGGATATTCTGCTGTATTGTACATTTTATATTATTCAAATTACGTGTTACTTCCTATGTTATTTAAATTATTGTCACAAGTAGGCACATGAGGATGCATAAAGAACGGATGAAGCAAAAAGGAAAATCTTCATGTCTGATTACTCCTTATTAACACATTGCGGACGGCTCACGAGATATCTCGTTTTTAGCAAATTGAACGTTGCGGACGGGTCACGAGATATCTCGTTTTCATGTTTTTTTTATTTAATCGGCAACAAGCAACCAGCCGCAAATATTTCTGTTACGTAACCATGGTAACGAAGCCTCCCGCATTCCTAAGTAATTTTAGCGAAACAAATGAATCATTCCAAACATGTAGAAATGATCAGTCATTATAGCCACTCTAAATCAATATTCAAATTTGTATAATAAATAATAGTTAAAATGTAAAAAATCTTATATAATAAACAGATATATAAACTATGTATACATAGTATTATTTAAGAATAATAAATGCAAATTAGAAATGTGCGTATCCGCTTCCTGTTACTTGCCAAGCATGTTTTTGGAGCGTTCGAAAATGTGCGGTCTTTGAGGGCGTGTTGAACGCGCAGAGCCCCGTCCGCAATGTGTTAAGCAATCTGGATTAGGTTTGAAGTGGACCAATAAAAATTGAATTAGAACTATTTTTTATGTAGGTAACTGAAAATATATCAATATGAGTTAAGATCAACTACTACTTGTCGAAATCATTCGAAACAACTTATTTATTACTTCTTTAACATCAGAATTCATGGTTTGATAATTATATTATAATTGTTTCATACAACAACATATATGAAACAAATCCAGATAGACACACGCATGAAACAAATATTTGCATACTTTTGATAAATCGCGATTTCCTCTCATTGTCAGTCAAACATTTTTTCCAAATAAGGACTCTGATTTTCTGATTCTGGCGCGGGTCTAATTATAATTTATAGCTACATATAAAGTTCTTTTTGCTGGCCGGCTATTTGCTACTGAAAGTAAATATCTAAAATACCTGACTACACCCAACAATCCCGTACTATTATAAATAAGCAATATATTATTATATTAATTAACCCTTATTTGAATAAACAAAATTGTTAACTATATAGCACTTCCAGTCTTACGATAGAAACAATCGCTAGTACGTACGTAACAGTGCACTCGTGGAATATGCTCATGCATTGTCTCGCAAGTTGACACGTGTATGACACAACAGCAAGCAACGTTCTGATGGAAACCGTCCGATGCAGTTGCGAGATTGTTTCAAGGTAAATGCGTGTGTACTGTGGAGAGTTTCTGATTTTATTGTGCCGTATTTACGTTTGATACGACAGTGACTCACACAGCCACCTGCAATTCGAATCCGGAAAAGATTCACCAACTTTTACATTTGCCAAATGAATGTCCGCAATCTTAGCGTGCACAATGTCGCTACCACTTTTGTGTCGCTGCACAGCACACGGCGCCATCGAAGTAGTTTCGCTTTCATCTCGCCGTTATTATAGAAAATCGTATGAAAAGAACTCGACGATCTCGGCTGCATTACAGAAAATAACAAACATTAAGCGCACTTCAAACTTCGGCTACCGATTTATTCATGGACAAATCCGTTCGATGAACACCGCAATTTCCGCGGCACATTAGTATGGTCCCATAGCTACCATCGCTGCAATCTTTACAGTGCATTCAATCTATTAAAGATTGCACAGAAGCGTCCTCGGATAATTTTTCCGCGGAGCGACTCGAGCAAGCGCAAACGTGCATTTCCGGTGAACGATCCTGCCCGCTGCATCTAGTCGTTGGATGAACCTTTTTAGGAAAGCAGGCGAAACGATGATCGAAACTGAAAACCGTAAGGGCTATCAGAACGAACACCACAAATTGGATTACGTGTTCACTACCTGGATCTCTAGGTTACTGTTGACGCCACCCGGCGTCTGGCCTTTGCACGGTGGCAACTCGACCCTGGGCGACATCGTATCGGCTGTCCAAGTCGGAGTGCTCTTTGTTTTGATGTGTTACTTACTAATACCCCACGTGATCTATACTTTTCACGACTCCGAAGACCTGGCCCGGTACATGAAAGTGATCGCCGCACAGGTGTTCACTCTCCTGGGGATCATCAAGTTCTGCGTGATGATCTTCAAGAAGAAAAAGTTCAGAGTCTGCCTGACGGAGATGAAACTGCAGTACACGAACGTTGAGTCCGAAGAAGATCGACTGGTCATGAAGAGCTCCGCCAAAGTCGCCAGATTCTTCACTACCATTTACGTGTGTCTCGGTTTCGGCGGCTCTTTCCCCTATGACATAGTCATGCCATTCTTGTCGGAGAAGGTCGTCAAGGCGGACAATACCACGCAGATCCCGTTACCTTACCCGAGCAACTATGTCTTTTTTGTGATCGAGGATCCGCCTATGTACGAGATCACCTTCGCTGCGCAGATAATCGTCAGTAGCATGATACTGTTCATCAATTGTGGGACCAACAGTCTGATTGCCAGTATGACATTGCACAGCTGTGGCTTATTTAAGGTCGTCAATAGACAATTGACGTCGCTCTTCGATCGAGATCGAGATGAAATGGGAGATTGTTTGAGGGATGTTGTTCGGCATCATTTGAAAGCAATTCAGTAAGAACGTTATTGCATATTAGATGTTTTATATTAATTATTATATAGTATTAGCGACAGTGTGTACAAGGTATTCCATATTGGATATCGTATATTAAATATTTATATTATTATACATATACATACGCTTGAGAAACATTTTGAAGGTAACTTAGTTACGTTTTTGAAAACTCCATCTTATTCAAAGGATTCATAAAAAATTTTAGTTTTTGTTTACAGATGATGAAGTTTTCAAATACATAGCAAAACTATCTTTAGAAAATTTCTGAAGTTTTCATTTTACTTTACAGAAATTTTAGAATAACAGAATTAGCGATATCAACAATCAATTATATCTTATTGTACTAAATCGATAAAAATACCTAAAGAAATATTTAATTATAGATTTGCAGAACAGATCGAGATTAATTTGAACACAGTGTTTTTTACGGAACTGGTCGGCAGTACTCTTATCATATGTTTCCTCGAATATGGAGTTATTATGGTACTATAAAGAAAAAGTTTAAATAGGGAAACAAAGAACGAGCACTAAAAGTATAAACTCGTAACAATATTTTCAGGAATGGGAAGATAAGAATATGATGAGTATGCTGATATATTTCCTTCTGATGTCATGGATGTTCCTAAATGTGTACATATTATCGTATATCGGCGACTGTCTCAAACAGGAGGTACTTTACTCACATTATGCTTACACTTTATAATTGCGTCTTGTCGTGCAAATTAATTCTTGCGATTAACTCCAGAGTACCGGAAGGTGCTTGATAGACTTCATAGACAACAAAAATGACGGACAAATGCAATATTAATTGCTGCAGAAATTCCCCGTATATTTTAAATATGCGAAGAATAATTGAATAACTTTTATCGATAAAAATTACATTTCTCTACAGATTAAATATTAAAGAAATTTTGAACTTATATCATGTTGTACAATTTGTGTAATTATATTGTAATTATATTAAAAGCAGAGTTTAATTGTCAGTGAACAAGGCAATCTGAAGATTGCATCCATTGTTCTCCATAATTATAGCGCATATCCCCCTAAACGGTTATGAATTTCAATAGCAACATTTCTTTTCATTGAGAGCGTGAAAGTGAAACTAATGGCGTACTACATGCCATGGTACAACTATTCCGAAGAAGTAAAGCAGAATTTAAGAATGATCATGCATCGTCCCATTCATCCGACATGCTTCACCGCTGCGAAGTTTTTCGATCTTTCTCTTCAGGGATTCTGCGACGTAAGTATAATGAGCTGGGGTTGTGGAGCCGGTTACTGTGGGGTGACCTGTTGTGAACTACTGGCCTGAATTGCTGCGTCTTTCATTACTTCTCGTGCATAATTAACTTCAACCTTTTTTGTTAAAAGATGAACAATATAAAAGAATAAAACGAACAAAATAAAAGAACAACAAATTTTAATATGTGCCATACGATGAGCATGATGTTAATTGTACCCGAAAAAAAACCCAAATCACAGCAATTGGTGCACACCACAGAAACCACATTGCTCTATCAAATAATACACCGCGTGAAACTCGAGAAATATAAACGGAAATGTCGTAGGTTGTTAAAACCTCCGCAGCGTATTTGAACTTCTTACGAACGATGACAGGATGAAGAGAACCCATAAGACGAAGGTGTGATCGGAAAAAATGTTAATTTGTACATGTGAGTTTATTGTTTATAAGAACGCAAACGGAAAGCGTTCGGTTAAGTTTTTACTTGCAAATACTACTGATAGTTGATCCGAGATATTTTATCTTTTATTAATGTGTCCTTCTCATTTGTCTGCGCTATCATCAATACCGTCGCGTCGCAGGTTATACAGCTGTTGGTGTTTATGCTCTCAACCTGGTCACGATTTGTTTTTGTTCAGTCCGAAACTTGTCCCGTTGCACAGTGAATGGACAAAATTAAAAAAAGTCATTGCTTCATATCTGTTCAAAACTGTGTGTATGATGTATAAAAATGTCTAAAGAATCATATTTAGAAAGAGAATGATCAAAAAATTGAACAGGAGATTAAGTTCAAGCGAGTTCACCGAACGAATATTAGGAAGATCAAATAGTACGTTAGTTCGCAACGTAGCTTGTTTACAGTATCTGATGAACAAAAGGCCATTTTACGAAGTAATCTTCATAGAAAATGATTGCCAGGGGTTATGTGATTGTAATTAATCTATAAAAATTTTACGATACTTACATGCAATATAATAATTGACCTGAAATTAAATAATTAAGTTCGATTTACTTTCCTAAACTTCGGATAAGGTTTTTAAGAAAACGGCTCAAAACATCCTGGGATTTCTATTCCAACATATTTATCAGATAGTATATTTTGATATTATATAAGCCTTTTTGCGAAAAATTGCGGTCTTCGGAGTTATTTAGCAAAATATATAGCCCATATATGCAAAACGATCGCTATGAATTTTCAGGCACTAAGGCAAAATTAATGAAAAAATCTTTCGGACAAAAGTTACTCAGTAACTTTGACTAACAACAAATTCTATTAATGAAAATTTGCATAAATGTTTTTATTCAATAAAAAGTAAAGGTGAGAACAATTCTTTTTTATGGAATCATGTAATTTTTGTATGCAAGTCGGTGCATTTTTGTATTTTCTTTGACAAACAATTAAGGTATTTTGGTCGAAAATTGATTAGTTCAGAAGATATGATTTTTGTCCCGAAAAAACGCCTATACATATAAGCGCCCCAACTGTGCGCCGCGCCGCCAACTGTAATTGATCGTGACTATAGGTAACTGTTGTCCACGCAATCCATTCCCGACTCGTGCAAACTTTTCAGACAGAAAAAAACGCTCTGGCTAAAGTTTACAACAGTGTTTATACTTCGACGCAGAGTTTTTCAAATGGAGAATTAATACTTCTGCTTTAAAAGTTGGAATTTCATTTTCCGCAAAAAGTATGGTATACTTGCATGATACATACTGCGATTTGTTTCTTCATATCACTTAATATAGGTATGAAAGTATATTTGTCATCCGTTACGATAGTGACACAACTTCGTTCTTGATGTGGAATGAACGGTTCCTGGAAGTTCGTTATACCGAATAACAATATTAACAGTTTTATCGTAGTTCAATAGCTTATTGTACCAATCAGATATTCACATCTGGAATTATTTAAATGATTTAATCCAAAACTGGAATTATTTAAAACGTTCGAACTCGTTTTTCAAAAACCTATGATCTTTAGTCGTGTCTGGACTGCGGACTTTTATGTAAAATAAATATATATATATTACCTCAATTCAATCATTAGGACTTAATTAAAATATATATGTATATATATTACCTCAATTATATACATATTACCTGTATATATATATGTATATATGTATATATATTACCTCAATTCAACCATTAGGACTTAATTAAAAATTAAATTCCTATCTTAATAATTTCAATAAATATATATATATATATATATATATATATATATATATATAT